TTTTCCGAAGCGATGATGTCTACCTACAATTCCTCCCTTCTTTGGAACTCCCTCCAAAAGTCGATATAGATTAAAACAACACCGCTTTAGGACTGAAGGCGGAGAAAGCATTCCTTCTTTGGAACTCCCTCCAAAAGTCGAAATAGATTAAAACAACACCGCTTTCGGACTGAAGGCGGAGAAAGCATTTTTTTCCGAAGCGATGATGTCTACCTACAATTCCTCCCGGCGCTACAACCCAGAAGACCAAAATCGACAATTTCGCGGCGTGAGAACATCAAATCTTCTTATAGCATTAATATAGTCCAAAAGAAACTTTCATAGGTAGAGTAGGAAGCTAACAGTGTTTGAAAGTTTCAAATGCAAGGGAAGTTTCTGTATTCATTCTTCGTGGTTTCCTTGCTGAGGACAGTTTGTTCGTTGCATGCAAAGAACCTACGAAGTTACTGAATAAATCATCTGATTGTAATTAACTTCAGTAATTTAATTTTTACGAAAAGTTGTCGGTGTTCGAAATGTTTAACTCTTGTACAAAAAATCCAGAGCATCATCACTGCACCAATGTGATCATTGTTTCGTTTCCAACGCCGGGTTGGTGTGCTAACCACTTGCACTGTATCAGTTATGGTTAGGCCTATCGATTGCGCGGTAATGGTTCAGTTGTCACAGAGACATGGCCGGCAGGCATTAATTGCGGAAACAAACGAACAGACAAGCGCGTAAATGTAATAATCCACCGCTGTTACGTGGCTACTCTGTATCGACCTTTGATCAGTCTGCTGTGAAGTGTGCATGGCACAGGATCCTAGCAGTTATGCAACGGGATCCAACAGAATGTTCTGTCCCACCTGAAGACGAAAGAACATTCATTTTTGGAAACTTAAGTTTTATAGTAATATTTTAATATTTAATAGGAATTTTATTGTGATTAGACTGATAAGATTTAAACAAATATATTTATCACAATATAACGCAACTTTATCATCTTAAGTTTTAAAATATAAAATAATCAAACAAACTATTAACACTATAAATGATACTTATTTTATATTCTAATGCTCGGTATGCAAAGTTTTAAGATTAAGGTTTTAAGATTTTTTAAGGCTTTAAAAAATACTACTGTTAAAGTCAAACACAAAGAAAGTAGTAACGTAATACTGTCGCCAACGAAATTTGTTTCAGTACGTACCGGAAGGGAACATAAATGTAAGCCTGTCGACCAACAGCCTTGCTACAGGCTAGAACTGGGAAATCTCTACGTCGTAGAAGAAGGTTTCCGAGGGTACTAGGGCCCGGGAGAAAATCAAGTACACTGTCTGTTTTGATATTTACTTCTACATTTTGCCACATAAATGCATCGCCTCTCATTCACCTCTTCTGAATATTTTCTAGTTATGCCTGCAGAACTGTGTATTCGCGTCATTGTTCAGTTGAAGGCAACAAAAGTATCTTATCTATTATTTCCTTTAAGAATTCATCGAATATAGGCCTAAGTGAAGATTATTATTTTTTTGTTACGAAGTATAAAGTGCCAATTATAGGTAAAATCATATAAATAAGTACTAAAAAAGGTATTATACTTTAATTTGTTTGTTACGTTGCGAGGTCACTGTGACAGACTGAACCACTGCCTTGTTAGCCTTATTATACGTCACTCCAGTTATTAAACCCTAACTACAGGTCTTATTTTGCAGACTCCTCATCGATTATATTTATTTTTTATATTTTAGGTTGTTACGAAAGAGCACAAGTGGACGTACATTTTTTATCAAAATATTTTTTTTCTAATCATATGCGCACTTTTCCTTAGGTGGGCCTTATTACCCGACGGTACCCTACATATTTTTCTATAAAACATTTGCTTGTGTTTCATAAAGAACAATGGCGATGAAGTTACACTTTGGTGTTATGAACGACACGTTGACATGTTATATGTAGAGGGAATCCAGAGAACAGAATGCACAGAATATAATTATTAATTTGTAATGTACTCTAGACTCTCTGTTTTGTGAATTCAAACTTTAACTTAATTATTTTTTTCCGGAGTGCCTTTTACGTAATTAAATTTAAATGCCTTGCCAGGGTCCAGCATATGAGTCTCCAGTAATGAAAAGGAATCAAACTTTCTTCCTAGAACGTTTTGTATTGGATCATAACTACCGAGGATCTTGGTTTTGATACAGAATTAATATGTAGTTGATGCTACAGGATTGTTCTACAAACTTTCATCAGTGAAGTTGTAAATTAGAATATTATAGATACTGTGGGTTTAACATTGCTATTTTGCGAAGAACATCCTTATGGTACACGGGATAAAGGATAAAGTATAAAACTTCCTGAAATTTTACACAAGAACGAAGCTGAAAACTTAAAAAGAAACGGGGGTTGAGAAGAAGAAGAAGTAGAAGAAGGGGAGTTTAACTTGAACGACTAAATCGGTAGAAAAAAAAGTTGAAAATAAAATAAAAGAGGGTGGAGCTACGATTTCAAAGTGTCATGCGCCAACTCAACCCGAAACTATGAAGCCGACCTGTGTTACAACCAAGTGACGTGATAAGTATAACCACACGCCTGGTAAAATTCTTGAGAGCACTCAATATTTTTCTTCTCCCAAACGTTAAAATACGATGCATTTCTGAAATATTGTTGTTAATCCGATTGGCGTCATGTATGAAGCTGCGTCGAAAGGTTCAGCTTTGAAATATTCGCCCAATATTGACTGTTTTCCTTGGTTTTCTCGTGGCTTACGTCTTTTCGTTTCAGGAACGAGGCCAACAATTTCATTACAATCTGTAAAAATGGTCTTATAGATCTTCTCCATTGTCTAAATTAGAAATAAAAAGAAGAATATAACGTTTCGGAAGTTGAGTCTTTTTCCGGATTGAGGTAAAAAGGACAGGACAGAAACCCTAGCTGTTAGGTCCCCTTCAGACTCGATCAATTTTATACTAGATTTTCATTAAAATTAAATTATTTGGTTATTCCGTCAAATCACAATGTATTTAAAATAAGATAATTAAAATAATTAAAATATCATTCTGTGTTACACATCGAATAATCGATTTACAATTGGAACAGTTACAACATGTTTCGGTTTTATTAAACCATCATCAGGTGTAAAATTATATTAAATTTAAAACTCAATTACAATTTTTTACAATTTTTCGTAGTGTAGTTTTTTGGAGGTCGTGTCCAGATATTTTCATATAATGGATCAACTTTATTGTTTGAAGTGATGCTTTTGATGTTTACATCGGTCAGAGATGAAATAGTAGACAACACAGTTGTGTCTGGAGGTGATCCAGAAGTATTACCGTATCCGATCAAGGTTTATTACCAGTAATAAACCTTGATCGGATACGGTAATACTCTCCCCCCAAACGCCTACATGGCGTATAGTGGGACAGCTGTACTTTACTTACTTATTTGCAAACCTTCTTGACGTGGCACTTAGACACAGAGAACAAACCTATCCTTTATGTATTTGGACTCTTGATGCTTTATCTCCTCTTTGTTTCTTCAAGACACGTCGTAATTCACAATTCATAACAAGGCTACTATACAATATTAGACAAGAACATGTTTGACAGTTGTTTCAGAGTCGTAAAGTTGTTAAAAAGATCGTTACCTTTTCTACTTTGGCAAATACCCTCAGAAGGTTGAGTCCTGCCACTTTTTTCAGGTCACCGACTGTCCACTGCCCGCTTCTTAGAAGTTCAGCAAAGAGTTCAGGATACATGGAGACGTCCTCTAAGCCCCTCGGTGTCCTGAAAGCAAAACAGATACTATAGCATTCGTTGCTGGCGTCTTGCTTCTTGGAGCTCGGAAGGCTTAGGTCTTTTAGGGTTTGTGAATTTCGTGTAAAGATGACGCCAATTGAGAATATACGTACGTATTCCGGATATGTAATTTAATACTTTGTAATTTCGTATTTATCTATTGAAATACAGACCCACTGTTACAGAGCTAACCATACTACAGATGCTACACAGTATAGAGCAAGACAGTAGATGTCACTGCATTTAGTTAAATACGTATTTACCATATCCAAGCACTTGTCAAATGAACGATGTAGAGCGTATGTTTTTGTACAAACTTTTGTAATACGTACCGTTGTTAAGAAAATTACAAGTGTAATTAAATTTGTGTCCCATGTAAAGAAAACCTTAGTTATAGACCGTATTATATCGACACGAACGAGAACCAAATTCGGCGAGATTTCAGATTCTTAAGGCGGCGAGTATGAAGACAGTTGTCTTCTGTGATGGTCTATAAACTTCTGTCAAACTACGTGAAGCAACATCCCAGAAGACAGTCGTCTTTAAAAAGAAATTAGCAAAAAACTGTAGCCTTCCAATACCACATTTCGTTAAAATCTGTTTAGTAATATCTAAGATAAAATATACGAACCAAAGCACACCACTTAACTTCTTTGCCAGTCAGTTTCAAGGAACATGACTGCCTGTATATCAGTAGCCATGCAGAGAGGCCACTGTGTGTCGCGGGCTACAAGGTGATGTTGAATTAACCAATATTTAGACTTTCACTACGGTGATGAATTGGGTTGTGATATTCTGCGTTAACAACCCTTGGTTTAAGTTTACAAGGAGCCTCAGTCCATACAACACAATCCAAACTGAAGGAAAGTTTTGTTCTTTGGAGGTAGTTAACATTGAGGTACGTACAGACGGTACACATTTAACATCGCATCTTTCATTGTAGTGCTAATTCTTATGAACAGTTTACCTGTTTATACCGTCAAAATCCCCACCGACACCAATATGGTCCACGCCAATCAGATCTCGAATGTAGCTGATATGCTCTGAAAACAAAGAATTCGCGCATAAACTATATTTTGTTTTATGCAGTGACTGTGTAAGTAGATTCAGTAAGCTTATGTAAACGTTCTAAAATGGCATCGATAAGGTCGGATTTCATGTTGCCATGGAGGCGAGTACTATCTTCTGACGTGTATTGTAGTCTGGTAGTTGACCGACATTTTAGACATGTTTACTGCCACAATCATCAGGGCGGTTCATTATCCAAGCCTTAGTCGATCGCCCAGATGATGTAGGCAGTAAGCACCTATGAAACGTTGACCAATTTCCACCAGACTAAACATCACAATGTCCCAGAAGACATGTTTTTCTCCCAAGCAATATATGAAAGCAGATATATTAAAAATAATAAATATAAGAACAGTGAATAATAATTACATCTACCGAAATTCTATTGTATCCATGAGAAAAGTGGAAAAGTTGGTAGTGATAAATGTTGCAGTTTGAAAAGCAATCAGCGATGTGCCCGAGACTGCTAGCAAATAAATTGAAATGGAAAAACTGTGATCAGTCGCAATTAGGGCTACATGTCTGTGAACTGCTACAAACAGAATCCAATTTAAACATCAGGTAACTAATGAATCAGCGATACTTGTCGCAGAGCACTCTATTGTTGGTGACTCAAGTGTAGTGAAACATCTGCAACACTTTCAGGCTCAGTATCGAAAAAAATACCATTTACGTTTCAGTTCGTTTAATTTACGATCGTAATCGATTTGCTTAATTATCGCTCTTGTAATAGATGTTGTATTTAAAATTATGTATTTTAGATTTCATAGATACTAGGTAATGAGAACTATGATATAAATGTGTATTTCATATAACATATTTTCCAAATATGTTCTTACAACTAATGAATCTTGATGTTCATTTAATTTTGATAAAAGTGTATTTCTGCAAAGCAAATGTCATTACATAATAGCAGGAAATTATAGAAAGTTGTAAACTATTTTAATTTGTTTTCTTTAAATATTCCCGTTGTAGAAAAATAATTCATGCAATCTTTGCAGATCTTGATGCACTGTATTTTTTATGAAACATAAATTTGATAATACAATGAATCATAAAAAAATCAATGAAGTTTCACATGAATTTCAGGTAAAGAAGGGGTTGGTCATACTGGACCGATACAGACCAAAATTAGATTGATTGAGCATATTTCGGTGTAGATATATAGAACTAACTCTATTTATCAGTCCTTCTTGAGAAGCTAATATGACGCATCCATCGAAATAGGCTACTATAATTATTTCTTCATTTGACATAACTCAACATTTATAATAACGTCTGGTCATTTTATTGTATGTTGTGTAAACTACCTACCTGATACAGTACAGTCAAATAACTTATGTACCAATCTCTGCATATGGTCCAGTTTTTATAGTAGGATGGAAGCGTTTAATATTCCCTTACCAATTTGCAAAACGAATGGGGCAAGTAAACAGTGAAACAACAAATGCAAAGAATGGAAGCTTATATCCGAACCAAAACAATATGCAAATTGCGTGATTTCAAACCAGAATTGAGTCCAGTTCCGCGCAAAGCATACAGCCACAACCGTATCTTTTTCAGGACGAAAGAACTGGCGTATGTCGAAGTTATGGAATAAGTAATGAAGGTATATTCCCTTCAAATATATATTTACAACTTCCATTACTGACTGATATTAATCATTAGCGAGAAAAGGAGACTGGAAAAATATATTTGTATGTTTTTTGAATAATTATTATAATTTTCGGTGTAAAGTTACTAGGTGAACAAAATGAAGACGATAGTACTCAACAGTTAATCCCTTGTTTGATAATTACATAAACGTGTTACTGGAAAGGTTAAAGAGCCCTGTAGTTTAGTCAGTGAAATGTCTGGCTACGGACTCGACGATTGCAATATTTTTACCTTGAAAATGGGAGAAGTAAGTTCTTCCGCAACATCAGCAAATGCTTGCACTTTTAAAGGTTTTAGGTTTTAGGTTTTAAAACAGTAGCCTAAATCAACATAGGGTATTGCGAAGCCGACTGTCTTGGTTTCAGATTAGGCAGTAATTTCTTAATTTCTGTCTGAGACTTGTTAGAATATACTAGGAATTAGCAGGGAGAAGGTTATTCAGTCGCAGAATTACCGTTCCTTTTAGACTGCTCAGAGTCGCTAAACGTAATCTGCAGCTTTTGATAATTGGTCCTTGTACCTTTCTAATTTGGAGCTTCGTTCTGTAAACAGCCACTTTAACCCTGGAGCTCCTGTCGTCGTATCTTACCCTTAATTTTGCTGCATCTTCCTCGACCTTTCCCCTTGTAGATTTGTGGGATGGCTCGCTCCCTGAACGGTTTAATTAACTAAAACTGCTTTCATTTCCACCGTACTGCTTGAATAACGGCAGAGTCTGGCTCTAAAGCTGATGTTGGGGGGTGAAAACCAGAGCAGAACTGACGAACTTCGTGACCGGTGGGTACATCATCTACGATTACAACGTGCGACTGACTATCTTTAACTGTGCTGAAAGGGTGGAGGATGGAGGTTGCTGAAACGTTTACATAATGCAGCCACAAAGATCACACCTAAATGAAAACATACAGTAATGTGGCATGCTATAATAGCACACTATTCTAGAAAGATTTTTACATAAATGTGTCTACACATGATATTAATGCTATTGAAATGAGATTATTGAAAACAGGAATCCAGAAACAGCTGAATAGCATAAACGCGTTTTAGTTGTCGTTGCGAGAAGACCTTTATAGTTCCGAAGGATTAGAGCATGTTGGTGTTAATACCAGCCCTGAAACTGTTAAATACATGCATAAAGTTTATCATCATAATCAGACATTTCAAGTTTGATTTATATGATTTCGTCAAGAAGCAGGGGAGATGTACCAAGTAAATGGAGCCGGAGCGTGTTGCTAGACTGCTTCTCACACCACTTGCGTTAAGCTTCTCAAGTGCGGACATGGTGCATTCACAAGCAGAACGTGTGTTTATTCTAGAACATTACTTCGCATCAAGATCGTTTGGTACTAAGAATTTAACAGTGCCAATTCTGAGAAGGAAGCACCGAATAAGACGACAGTTCACTGATTGGTAACAGAAATTCGGGTCACAGGATGTGTTTTGACAGAAAAACATGCCCGGAAAATATGTACAGGTGAGACGCTCCGCGATTTGAAAAAAAAACCCCAGTAAAATCAACTCGTTTCTCGTGTTGTGTCTGACGCCAAAACTCGCTAATACTGTTTTAGTTAAGATTGAGTTTTAAATGGAAACCTCCGCAGAATTAATAAGTTAGTGGATCTCTGAACAAAATGTATTACTTTCTGCTTGAATCAGATATGTTGTAATTTGACCAGTGACTGGCATTTAACTTCAAAGGAGCTAGGTACCGCTTCGCTCAACTTTATGTACTTCAGTCTGCCTGACATTATGTAGAATACACTTTATAGTTCTCTACCTACACAAAATTCTGTGGCAATAGTCAAGCAGATTACTTTTCATATATTTTGCCAAGCAGGTTCAAGGTTGGTAAAATTTCTGTACCCTTTAAAATTTATTTGTAACGACATAAACCACATTCTTTAAAATGCAAGTAACTCTTAAATTTGCACACAGGATATATTTATGATTTAATGTGAGAAGCGTTTGTTTCCTGAAACAACTTCAGCGAATTGATCATCTTATTAGAGAAGAGTTGTGGTCTGTTTGAGATAGGAACTGAATTTTCATATATTATTTAGATGAGCTTCGGCTTCATAGCATTTAATTAATTTCCAACTCATATTTAAACTTTCACCTTAAGCTGTATCTTATGTTACATACACGATTGAATATTCATCGTGAAAACAAAACGATTTTAATTTCTGAAACTGTATACTTTAATACACATGAGTGGAAATAATTTAATAGCAGTGTGTGATGAATAAATTCGTCCTGTGAAGTCAGCAGGCATTTTTATTTTTACTTCAGTATCTACCGGCTTTTGTTTGCGACGTTCATAAACCTCCCTCGATAATGCACACGAGGCAGGGGGTTGTAATTCGTGGTGAGTGTAGGTAATAGTCTACCAAATTTGAGTGAGCGTGTGGTTGTTAACGAGGGGTGGTCGTTGAAAATGAACGTAATTGTAGTTTATGTGTTTTATACGCCCATATTTTCATTATTAAATATGTTCCTATGAGGAAACATGCTTTGTTGAATGATATATGGCAGTATAGATTTAAATTATTGTAACTCTCGTGGAGTAGAGGTATTTCTAGAAAGTCTGAGACGGTCAATTGGAAGAGGATCATACTTCAAAAGCATAAAAAAACTGAATCCTTTATGAAAATCTGTATGGATTATGGCCCAGAATTTAGAATCCATATGAAAACTTCGAGCAGTAAACGTTACTTAAAGTATTATAATGCATTTACAAATGAAATCCTTCATCTGATTCTTCTGTTTGTATGAGTTGTTGGGATAATGTCTAAAGCGTGTCTGCATAGAAGATATGTCATAATATGGCGCCCATGTCTGTCTGTCTGTCCATCAGCATGTTTTATCATCAATGAATGTATATTGAATTTGGTGTTGGTGATCAACACTACAAATGGCGGTTAAATTTATTTTGGGTTTGTGACTGTCAAAAATTAACGCTACTTTACTTGAGGCTTAAATCTAACATTATTGATTTCCTCATAAATATCTACGTGATGATAAATTTAGAACTCATTATGATCCACAACTTGAAAAAACTCTCGACGTCATGAATGTTCAAATATGTACGAGGGAACCTGTTTAGTGTGAACTTAATTGAACAAATATGTTTGTATTTGCACTCTAAGGCCATATTTACACATTCATTTTCACTGGACTAAAGTCCTTTTACCTGTGTAGAACGTGTATTGGTGTCCGACTCGGACAAAAAGTTCGTTCTTTACAAATCGTAGGTGCGTATGAATGGAAAGTGTGAATAGGAAATAATAAAACTTGCTGTCGACCTTAATTTGTTTTCTTTATGTTGGAGAAAATACGGACTTAAAAAGGAAAGTGAGATTATGCTAGCGACGTGAAAAATAACCGGGTTGTTCACACGAACTCGCTAGTGGCCCTTATCCTGAGCCGGATAAATCCAATTTAAATCCTGCAACCCTGTTTCCATTAGATCCATTTTGATATTATCCTCTCATCTACGCTTAGGTCTACCTAGTCGTATCATCCAGTCAGGCTTTTCAACAGAAATTTTGTACGTATTTCTAATCTCCTCCCTACAAATACATTTTCTGTGAAAGTGAAGATACACATTTAATGTTATAAAGAATAAATATAATTTAATTGTCCTGCTGCAAGATCTGTATCAACAAGACCAGTGAAGAATGTGTTTGGAAAATAAATTGTAGTAAAACTTAACAATTTTATTTTGTTGTGAATAAAACAGGTACTCTCTTCTTGACATAATTATGAGCTTATATTCAAATATAAAATACACTAGAGTGACTGTGATGGCGATCTGGAACCAAATACATTTGAATTTTTAGACGTGGTTAAAATTTTTTTGCTATTTTCTCTCCACTCCATCTAGTCATCTGAACATTGAAATTTGGTTGGTTACCCCCATTCACCAAGATAGACCATTGCTTTTCACAAAATTGAGCATGCTTGGCTTGAAGATGGCTGTCTTCTGGGTTATATCCTTGCTACCTCCATCATCAGGGCGATGATAAGAGGCAGCAAGGACCTCTGAAGCATTGGTAAACTACCACCATATCACATGGCGCTACAACCCTGAAGACAGCTATCTTCAGACTCACTGCTGTGAAAACCTCAAATCCTACTTAAGATGTGTTGATCTTTACAGTTGTTTTGTAAAAAGGTTTCAGGACACACGAAAGTAAATTGATTCAGGATAATGACCATGATACAAACAATAGCAGTGTAATCTCCATATTGTAACTGGTGGGCCCCATCTGATGTGAAATTTTGCCGCCTTTGACTTACAACTAATGGATTTATCTTGGCTGAAGAAAACAAGAGCTAAGATAGTACAGGGAAGTGATGGAGAAGATCGGCCATTCCCGTGGCTGTAAACTTACCGTTATTATAAAGAACATGTGGGATCAAGTTATATTAAACTACATTAACATTTTATGTGACTTATCTTGCTTACAAGGGGTGATTAACTGTAATTACTATTAGGATATCACCCACTCGACTCTGGTTTCCACAGAATTTCTTCGTCCCTGTGTCCTTATAATTCCAACGTTCTTATCTTACTCGTTCTTTCCCGCTAGAAATTACAGGTCCTTTTCTGTGATTAGCCGTAATTTTGTCTCTCCTGTTCTGCTTCCGAGATCTGTCCCACTTAAACCTCTTATTCTCACGGAACACATACACTGCCTAATCTGATCAGACAGCGGACGTGAACCAGAATCTTGCGAGCCACGAAACTAAGACAGGAGACTTTTTATTTTGAATTTATGGAAGTGTTATCCGGGCCAACACGGCTAACGGGATTGAAACGAATATTTCGCCTCTGGAGTATGCACAATTTACCCTGAATCTGCAACGGAATGTCCAGATGATAATTCACTGAATAAAATTTACTGGTATCGTTCTAAAGTAGAGAAATCGTTAGTCCGAATTGAACGAATTGTTTCCGAAGCTGTTTGTTAAAGTTTCGTTAAATATTCTGATTAGTGTGTGTTTCGGTGGGTGGGGAGGGGGGGGCAGGCGTATCAAGTCAGTGAGTCAGGACACATCCAACTGACTTTTTAATGTATTTTTGCTAACCATTACCGTATACTGTTTTTACCTAACCTGCTTTATATAAGCGGGATGACCATCCTCTTACTAATAGACTGTGCAATTAATTACATTGCTTTAACTTAACAAGACGGCGAGATTCGCTTCAACTGTGTGCAAGTTCTAAACAGAATTAGAGAGAGAGAGAGAGAGAGATATGTGAACGTCAGACGACAATTGAAAGGATGAAACGATTTAGTTGTGGTGTAGGTATACCTTCCAGGCAAACGCGGAAATCTGTTAAATCTAGAATCCCTCGGTAAATGGGAGGACCGCGGGGCAGAGACAATTCTTAGAGTTAAGCGTGTATGTGTGTGCAATGACAATTTTACCATTACACGTTCCCATAACCCGGTTTTAAAGAATTCTAAAACTTTAACGCCGAGTATTGATCGCTTTGTTAATTGAAAGTTTACCAGGTAACAAATCGGCAGTTGACGTAGATGACGTTTGCACTACAACGAAAGTTTTATTCTTAATATCACGTATAACTGTTCTTCTTTAGACAGTAGTTTAGTATTATATAATGCTTTAGTCAGGTCAAAGGCAGAGTATACATTGATTGATTACAATAAACAAGAAAGTATGTATGATTTGAGGTTTTCACAGCGGTGAGTATGAAGATTTCTGTCCTCTGGGTTGTTGCGCTGAATCGCCCTGATGACGGAGGCAGTATAACCTCTGAAACGTTGGTAAATATCTACCATACTACAGAGCGCAACAGCCCAGAAGACAGAAATTAACAAGAAAGTATTCAAAGAAAATTTTGCAGTTTGTGTCATCGGTCCTTTCAGTTTGATATTTGCTATAAATAAATAAGATCGAGTTGAATTGTCTTCTCTGACGATAAAACTTACTAGTGATTTGAGGACGTCATCTGGAACGTTCCTGGAGGAGTTGCACAGCGCGAAGGCGGAAGAGTGCGAGAACATGACGGGGGCCTTACTGACGGCCAGAGCGTCTTTCATGGTGCGCACCGACGCGTGGGACAAGTCCACCATCATGCCCAGACGGTTCATCTCGCGGACCACAGCCTGCAGACGAAGCAAGTACACACATGAAACATAAACGAACAGAGAGCCGCTGAGGCAGCAGCAGCAGCGTTGCATCCCATTTCATCATTCTTTGCTAGTTTGTACCCTCATTCGTCTTCAACGTTCTCATTTATAACACTCAAGTGTGTTGTTAGAAGACTGCTGTGGGCTGAGCGTGTAGCATGGGCGGGTGACAAAATTGGTACATACGTAATCTTTCCTTCTTTGGCTCTGTATGTATCCTTTTCCTTATTTCTTTGTCTAATTTTCGTTTCCTTTCGTTATTTAATTAATTTCTTTCATCTCTCCTGTCTTCTTCCCTTGCTTTAACTGTGTGCAAGTGACAGACAGAATTAGAGAGAGAGAGAGAGAGATATGTGAACGTCAGACGACAATTGAAAGGATGAAACGATTTAGTTGTGGTGTAGGTATACCTTCCAGGCAAACGCGGAAATCTGTTAAATCTAGAATCCCTCGGTAAATGGGAGGACCGCGGGGCAGAGACAATTCTTAGAGTTAAGCGTGTATGTGTGTGCAATGACAATTTTACCATTACACGTTCCCATAACCCGGTTTTAAAGAATTCTAAAACTTTAACGCCGAGTATTGATCGCTTTGTTAATTGAAAGTTTACCAGGTAACAAATCGGCAGTTGACGTAGATGACGTTTGCACTACAACGAAAGTTTTATTCTTAATATCACGTATAACTGTTCTTCTTTAGACAGTAGTTTAGTATTATATAATGCTTTAGTCAGGTCAAAGGCAGAGTATACATTGATTGATTACAATAAACAAGAAAGTATGTATGATTTGAGGTTTTCACAGCGGTGAGTATGAAGATTTCTGTCTTCTGGGTTGTTGCGCTGAATCGCCCTGATGACGGAGGCAGTATGACCTCTGAAACGTTGGTAAATATCTACCATACTACAGAGCGCAACAGCCCAGAAGACAGAAATTAACAAGAAAGTATTCAAAGAAAATTTTGCAGTTTGTGTCATCGGTCCTTTCAGTTTGATATTTGCTATAAATAAATAAGATCGAGTTGAATTGTCTTCTCTGACGATAAAACTTACTAGTGATTTGAGGACGTCATCTGGAACGTTCCTGGAGGAGTTGCACAGCGCGAAGGCGGAAGAGTGCGAGAACATGACGGGGGCCTTACTGACGGCCAGAGCGTCTTTCATGGTGCGCACCGACGCGTGGGACAAGTCCACCATCATGCCCAGACGGTTCATCTCGCGGACCACAGCCTGCAGACGAAGCAAGTACACACATGAAACATAAACGAACAGAGAGCCGCTGAGGCAGCAGCAGCAGCGTTGCATCCCATTTCATCATTCTTTGCTAGTTTGTACCCTCATTCGTCTTCAACGTTCTCATTTATAACACTCAAGTGTGTTGTTAGAAGACTGCTGTGGGCTGAGCGTGTAGCATGGGCGGGTGACAAAATTGGTACATACGTAATCTTTCCTTCTTTGGCTCTGTATGTATCCTTTTCCTTATTTCTTTGTCTAATTTTCGTTTCCTTTCGTTATTTAATTAATTTCTTTCATCTCTCCTGTCTTCTTCCCTTGCTTTCTTCCTTACTTTAACTTACACCCTGTTTTTTTGTGTATGTCTGCATCACACTATCTCGGATTTGTATTGTATGGCTACCTTCTGGTCCACAGAGTAAAAGGAGGATTTTATCCCACAGGATGATAGAACCAGTTCTTACATTCAGTCTGTTCATGCGTTGTTTTTTAAATTTCGTTGAATTTGTAAAATATTTAACACAAAACATTTAGTCGTGCCAGCAACTTGGCTTCTGCAACTTCATTTCTTATTCCAGTCTCATGTCTCGAATCACACGGCAGTCTGCTGCTGTTAATTTTATTTATTTAGTGTTCTGTCTGACGACAGGTCCATATGAACAGGATCCTTCCATCCTTTTCTCGGACTGGGACCTGTTCATATACGTTCTTGGCAGATGATCCAGAAGTGGTTTGCCATTGCCTTCTTCTGTGTGTGAATGGAGTAATTGTTGGGATGCCACGGAGAAACCGGGGAAGCCCCCGGAGGAAAACTCCGTGTTGCCTAGACTACGGCCTTGCCCAACACAAGTTATAAATTCGGGCACCGCCGGGAATCGAACCCGAGACCCCAGGATTACAAGGCCAGCGTTCTAACCGCTAGACCACCGTGGCTGATACCTGCTGTTAATATGGGTCCAGTAAGGAGGACATGCTCGATGGAATTGGCCAGCTCACTGCCAATCCGACTCATTAGCGCAGAACATGGTTTGATTTTCTAAACAGCACGTAGTATAGTAACGTGCTTCGATGCATTACACATGTCAGTGTTACAACCAAATTTAATTCATGTACAGTGAGGATTGAATTCCGACTCTTGCATTAGCACACTGAATTGGGTGCGTAACGAAAATACTATCAAACCTGTGGAACAGCAAGAAATATGTACAACTTGTTCGATATTTCACATGCACCGATTAAGTTAAGCCTGTCCCTATGCACAGGGCCATAAATCCACACAGCATACTATTTGTATCGTCTGCGTTATTTACCTTCACTTCCTACAGCAGGGACTGGGATGAAGGGAGACTAATATAACACGTTCTGCGCATGCTCATCGTGCGTACTACCTGCTTTGCCGTCCCGTTGTATAAACCAGGCCGTGACGAGCCAGAACCAAAATCACAACTGAGGAGTGCAGACGCCAAGTAATCTGACGCTGGACAATATCAGGTAGCCTTCAGTGCACACAAAAGAAACGTCGAACACTGACTGAGATGTTGAGTCATCCGTTGTCATCGTGATCTTTTAGAACTGCTAGTGCTGCTACATAGAGGCTGAAATTGTTACAGGGGTGATCAGACTGTTCTGCATGCATGTGAGTAAACGTACGGATGTTTATTTAACACATTCAGTTTGTCGCACACTGATCATAGTATAAGTCCTTGTTACTGAAACGCTGTACGGAAGATATGTTTGATGCCATATACTTTTACTTCCCCATAATAAGTAGTAGCCAGATATTCTTAGTTTTATAATCATAATCATCTGCCTCCATGGATCAAAGCCCTTGAGAAGCTAATGGTAAAAAAGTTTGTCCCACTATACGCCATGTAGGCGCTTGGGGGGAGAGGAGGAAAACCCTCTGCCCCCGTCGGGGATGGAACCCCGGCCGTCCAGCCCGTAGCTAGTCACTATACTGACTGAGCTAATGGTAGATTAGGTAATTAAGAAATTCCGAGCTTTTGTGAAGTCTGATGGTGCAACGCAGTGTTCATGTGCCTCCCCCACTGGGCCCTATCCTCAAACGGTTGGATCCAATCCACCATCTTGAACACTATTTCTCAAAGATCTATTTTAAATGGCTGATGCCAAACCTAGAAATTCGTATAGAATTTTGTTAAAATAATAAAGATATTTTATAAGCAAGATTTGTGTGTTTATATACCATAGTGAAATGCAGAGATAAATTTTAATCAATTTCAATTACAATTACACAGAGTTTAACGCAAGTGGTATCAATACTGAAGGACTATTAGTAAAAACTGAGACACGTAAATTAATCTAGTTAGCCTACAGTTGAAAGGGCTTTAGTACGAAACACATTAGTATCCCGGTTTTAATCTTGGCTGGGTTAATGAGTATCCTGAACTTGTTTATGGCTTTCTCTGTGTCTTCAGTTGGATGCCGAGATATTACCCACAAATGGACCACATTCACCCCCTTCAAAATACTTATATGATAAGCATTCATAACTGTACTATCTACACTGCATAACCTACGCAATTGAAACAGCATCTTTATATAAAATAAAAATTAAACGAGAAAACATTGTTGAGGCCTTTTCGAATTATTTCATACTGGAGCGATGGATAATTATGTGTTGCTTGGTAGATGGGGGTAGTTTAATTTTAGAAAGTAGGAAAAGGATAAAATACTTTAAAGTGCCTTTACATTCGGTAAACGCGGCCAATTTTCTGTCTAGCTGAGCAACTATAAACATTCCAAAGACTAAACCTCTACCATGCAGCTAGCGAAGAAGAGAGTCCCCGAATAGAAATTCGAAATCAGTTTGATCAGAAGTATTTGTAAAATGTATTGATACAGTTGTCCAGAAAGAGGTCAGTAAGTGGCTTCACCAATTTAAATCCTGGGACTAGGTCCTACAGGGAGAGCTCGCAAGCAATTAAACACTGCAATGCGATAACTATTGGAAAACAACTTGAATTAAACCCTACCTCAATCCACTTTACACTTCAACACATCGGAATGCTGCTATGTTTTGCATTCAAATTACTCGACAACTAAAACTGGTTTTACTGTACATCCATTCTTATACTCCAGTTCGTATATTTTTGTGGGTATGTTTGTCGAAACTAATTTAAATCCTAAAGATGTAAACAAAATCCCATTTAACAACTTTCGCTTGTGCGCTGATAGGACTCGTATAATTCAGTACGGGATTTAATTATAGAAACTACAGTGTTCAAAGCTTTCTTTACTTAAGTGCATAAGCTAAAATAGTAATGTGGACGATAGTCTTTGAACCTATATAAAGGATATCTATTATACTTTATACTAAAAGTCTAAATCACAAGTTACCAACGAGATTAATGTTGGGGTTTGTATTACCCGATGTTTTATACGGATGTAAAACATGGTACTTGACTTTGTGGGTGTTTGAAAACAGACTGATGAAGAGAATATTTAGAACTATGACGGAGGAAGGAGAAAATTACATAAATAGGAGCTTCATAACTTCCCTCTTCATTATTTAACATGATACGAGTAATCGAATTAAGAACGATGTTTCCGTTGGAACAGTGAACATATCGATATGAAAGGCATCCTACAAGTAAATCATGCTTCATTCAAATCAGCTTTCATAACAGAAAGGTTGGAGATTGGTTCAGCACCTTTACAAACACCTTTTGATGTGCTGTCAAATACAAAGTTCCTTCTGAGCAAACACCTCTTAAACCCCATGGCAACGTAGAAGTTTGGCGGGGAAATGTTTGCTGGATTTATGATCAATCTTATTTCGTCAGCGTTTGACGTTAAAATTCACTCACCTTGCCAAATTCCGTTAGACCTCCGTGCTCTGGGTATTTCCCTCGATGTTCAACGGACGAAGAGTCGGCCCTGCCAGCAATCAAACGAATGTATATTAAATTTCCGTTGTTAAATTGTCTCAAAAATCAGTCTGACGAGAAAGTGAAGTAAGCAAATTGTAAAAACAAGAATACAGGTCAAAACAGTGGTGATTCGCTTCAATTACCTTCGAGAGCTGTATGGATCGAATCCTTGCAGAATTGATTTATTTTCCCCATTCGCTTTAGGTTAATTTAATAGAGGAACTTGGTGTTTTTGGCAGCTTTACAGTGCTTTCAAATAGTGCTCGATCGTCTTTTACTAAAGCATTACTTATTCATCAGTAACATTATATGTCACTTTTGGTGTATGTGCCTCAGATTTAATACCCCTGTGATATAATCCCCCCCCACAAACTGTGATAAATCTTCAGCATAAGCGCCTCAATATCTTCCAGTCGTCGTATCGTGATAACAAATTCAACAGCATAAGCGCCTCAATATCTTCCAGTCATCGTATCGTGATAATAAATTCAATTTAAGACGATGCGGTGGCGAAAATAGACAAACGTTGTCTCCGAAGAAAGTGCTAGAAGGTAGTCAAAGTTGGGCGTTCTTCAGCCATTGTTTGAGCAATAACCAATATTAGAAGTATCCAATTATGTGAGAAATACGCTTAGAGCGGCCGATACGTGCTGCAATATTCCTTTGATGCGGATTTGTAGTATATCTGTTACCATCTTTCTGTCATAATTACGGTTGATGTAACGATATTGGAATGGGTGTTGAGAATTATATCGCTTGTTTCAAGGGACGCGAAGTTTATTCGTGAAATTTGTAAATTTATGGTGGTAACTGTCATCATTACTGTCATGTGTTGATTTCCTGCCTATTAGCATTGAAGTTTCCATGGTTACTGTGCACAGAAGTGCTGCGAAGTTCGGCGGATGGGGAGAACCGAGACGAGATTTTCTATCCGTGATTCCCTTCTCAAGTGTCTTATATAACTAACACTGTCATCTCCAGAATGAGGTATAATTTCAGTAGCTAACAGCAGCGTACAGAAAATTAGAAACGTACTCTAATCATCAGTGGCGTGTATAACAGCTGTTGTTTATTCTAATAATTGACTTTGGTATACCAACTGGCAAAGGTATTTAGCATCCAATTGAGATACTACAGAGTAATGATGATTGATGGATCATCAGATTATGACAGTATATTATTCCACCCTCCTGACAACTCCCTATAGAGAGAGGGAAAAATGTAAAAATCTTGTAAGTAGTTCTGTTTTGGGGTGTTTCTCCGTGTAGTCTGGTAGGCGTTTCCCGACGTTTCAGAGGTGCCTGCCGCCTCCGCCATAAGGGCGATGACAGTTAACACCGCTTTCACGGACTAAATAACTAAAAATGGTGTTAATATAATAGGCGCAGCAACACAGAAAACAGCCATCTTCATACTCGGCGCCTCAAAACCTGAAATCTCACTAATTTTGAGTCAAAATGTCTGGCCTTTTCGAATCATGTACCTCGTAAACAATTTAATATATTTCCGTCGTAGTAACGAGCCATTGACTTTCTGTTATCGATATCGAAGACTCGGTGAATCACGTGCATGGTGAAAATAACTCTGTGCTCTTAAAATCTCGAATGTGAATGCTTAAATGCTTTATAACTTACCAAGGAGTATTGCATGTATGGGTGAGCGTCATGTAACGGACACCAAGGTCATAGAGTATCCTGAGTACAGCCAGACTGTTGCCGATACTGTGGCCTCCTTCCACGCCGATCAGAGAGGCTATTCTATTGTGCTCATGTGCTTTTATTATTTCTGAAACAGAGAGACTTGTTACTTCAGAGGACTGACTGACCTAATTGCTAATTATATTATTAAACATGTGAGTAACTAAGTAACTGAGGAAGTAACTCACTGATAGACCGAGTAAGTAACTGATAGGAAAAGTAAGTACGCAAGTAACTGACTTACAGACTGAACACGTGGTTATTTAAGAGGTAAACAGATAACTTGCTGCATGTAACACTTTGAAGCCCGAAGCTCGTGTAAATGATATTTAAAAATTCAGTTCTTACCTCAAAGAAAACAGGCACAGTGGTTCTTTATCAGAAAGAAAAATTATTCAATGTTATTTAAGGAAATAATCGCTGTTTACTTTGCGAATCATACGAAACCAATGAATATATTCTGTGTCCAAAATACAAGGTTGTTGGTTGGTGAAGTAGGTAGTATATATAATGCTTTACAGTTTTAAATAATGCAGTAAGTAATTGTAGTAAGTAATTAATGACAGACTGACGAAGGAAGTAACCACTTACTTTCGAATTAACTGACTAACAAAGTAATTAACTGACAAATTAACTAAATAAGTGAGTAAGTAGGCAATTAACTAACCACGGACAAGGAGATGGTTATTTGTATTTTTCGTGGAATTAAGCAATCAAAATACAAAATCCCTTTTATGAAAATCGAATGTTCGTCAGGTACGGGTATCACGAAACCTGTCAAATTTTCGTGTTCGGGTCACTTCACATTTCCATAATCCATTACACTAATATTAACTTTATATTAACCACTTCCCGCAAGCGCCTACATGGCGCGTAGCGAGGTAGCTTTACCTTTTTTTTTACTTCTTACTTATCTTTACGTATTTGTTTGTGTTTTCTATTTGGTTTATTTCCGTAAAAGTTTCTGTTCAAAATATATTTTTATTTTCTTTGTCCGTTTCACATGTTCTTCCTTATCTAGGCACAAAATAATTAATAATTGAATTCAAAGTGACACAAAGTTTTCCACAAGATACTCATAGGATGGGGGAATTTAAATTAAATTATAAGTTAAATCATCACGAGGAATAAACTGTAACATTTATGTAGCATCAAATTAAATAAATTTGAGAAGACGGAAATAATAAAGTGCGGTAGATGTGTCGTCATAACTTCCGCTTATCGCCTGAAAGGACCGTGAAAAATCTAAGAAATACCAATAACTTTAATCGGTTCTAGGAAGAGATTCGAACCATGTGTCTGCCGAATCAAGGCCATGCTTTGTACAGCTAAACTAACAGCGCAGCAGCTTCGAGCGGTGGAACTGTATAGTGTGTCATTTTGTTTCTCTGTTCCCATTAGAGGTTTTGTATTAATTTGAAGAGAGACCTTGTTTCATCAGTTTACATACGTTGTTCAGCAAAAGAGGTCCTAATTGTCGGTTTTTATTTTCAATCAGTTTTAAAAAAGTGGAAGAGTATGTATGAAACATTGTGTGAGCGGCCCCTGATCAGTTTTGCACTACTTTGTTCATTTAATTTGCCCCCCCCCCCAACCTAAAAAAGAGATCGATATTAGCACAAATCATGTATCTACTTGTCATCCATTACGTCGGTTTTGGGCGCGTGCGAAACAAAATTCTAACGTGCTTTTGGAACGAAAGGTTTCATAAAATCATACTTTTCCTATTGAATACTGTAATAGATGTGGCGTCTAAAACACACATGCACAGATAAGTGTTTGCTGTCTCAGGCATGAACACAATTACAGTGGATATTTGATTTGTAGTGCTAGATTTCGAAAAGATGGTAGTCACTTCTAAAACTTCTTGACGATGGTGAAGAGTCAGTTGAATAAAAATTTCCTTGGATATTATCCATCGTCTAGTAAATATAAAACGTAAAACGACGTTTCGGAGATGGGACTCTATGTCCGTCTTCAGGTTCCTACACAGTTGAGATAGGGATTAGCTCTATCTAGTGGGCCCAACTGTGTAGGAACCTGAAGACGGAGATAGAGTCCCATCTCCGAAACGTCGTTTTACGTTTTATATTTACTAGACGATGGATAATATCCAAGGAAATTTTTATTCAATGGTAGTCACTGTTCTGCGGTAATCGGTAGATAATCCCACCAAAGTTACTGATGTAACATTTAGGAGAACTGACGTTAGTACTTGGGAAAGAATATTATTTGGCACAGAAGATAGCGAATGCTGCGCTGGAAATGTGTGAAACCGTACTCTTTGGGTAGGTTACAGTGCTTTTGAAAGTCATGGCTTATGCAGCTTCGAATGGAGCAGGAAGATAATGATTGTAGGATCTGAAGTTTTCATGGTGGTGAGTCTGATGAAGGCTGACTTCTAGGTTGTTGCGACTTCTAGTCTAGTAGAAGTTTGCCGACGTTTTAGAGGTCCTTACTACTTTCTTTGTTTTTAATTTCTTCTACGTACTTCACACATATGCTGATATTGTTTTAAATTTACTCCGATATTCGTGTTTTTAAAATATGACATATTTAATCCAAGGTAGTTAAAGATGTTGACCTCTGCAGTAACTTCAGGTTCTTAGTGAATGAGAGGAAGAACACGTCAGTACACAGTGTACAAGAGTTTACGTCTGAACGCGACCTACCCAACGCGTGAGATTAATTTTCACTCAGTTGTTTGAAATTTGTATCATGCGGTGCATCCAATTCCATCAAATAATCTGATTCAAAATACTGACTTCTATTTCATCACTATGCAGTTCAGTTGCGATTCAGTTTAATGAAAGGTCACATCATCTTCATTTTTAAAATATTAATATTTCTAATCTCATTCAAGTCAACTTGCCAGAATGCATTTCGAGACATATTTCCTTATTCACCTGTGACAAAAAAATCCGACATTGCCTCGTCTGGTGAACCGTTTCTGTTCACGGGTTTTCATAAAACATGAAGAAAAGCGTGAATGTTTGCACCACTGAACGCGGTGGACATTTCCAACACTTCGTATAACATTTTCTGATTTCAATGTAGTGTGGTTTTTGACAGATGGAACATGTGTCAAGGAATTGGTCGCGAGACTTCTCAGTCATTCTGTAGTTGCAAATCGTACCGCAGTGAAATAACTTAGTTGAGCAATTACTGTAGACCGTCCTATTGGACTACTAGTTGTATCAACAAGTATGTTCTATTATGTTGCAAAATTACTTGTGTCAAAGGGGATGCCATGTTGGTTTTGGATCGTATGTCCACTCTATATTACGTTCTGGCTGCAGGCATAATAATTAGATATTTTGCTCTATATACATGAATTATAAAAGTTATGTTTTTACATTGTATCTTCCACTTTTGTTTTACTTTTTATATTTAACTCCATGTTAAGTTCTTTCTTCTTTATTTTTCTGTCTTAAATCAGACTCTTACAAATGTACAACATGAAGAACAGTAAACGTGATTAAATTTAATCGATTGTAACATATATTTTACCTTTCGCAGAGGATGCGAACTGCAGATGTTGTGCGTACTTATCAATGAGTCGTTTTATGAGATCGATTTGTTCGAGTGTCAGTTGAACGGCGTTCAGATGTTGCGACTCGCAGGGAACGTACGCTGCCCAGAACTGCGAATATAATTCAGAAACAACTAGCAGAGTTACAGACAGACAAACTCATAAATGTATTTATTAAGAAACTAAAAGCTCGAACCATACTAATTAACAAGAGTAATGCTACCCTAGTTTCAATATTGACTGAGCTATATGGGCTCGTGATACTACACGTGATTCTCTAATTAATTAACTCTTCGATGAAACCTTTTTTTTCCAGATACAACGGACTAGACTTACTGCCCTGTTCCGATTTTGAATTAATTTTTAAAAAACTGATACGCCAAACAAAACAATACAGAAACATATGGACATATACAATCGTGATGAGGGCTAAATTGAAGACACAAACCCGATATTTCTAGCTTAAAGTGATTTTCTTTCTTTTATATATTCCTGTTACAATTATTATTTTGAGGTTATATGTATTTTTTTTGATTTCTCCGTCGTCTAGGTGCTATTTAAACCGAATCTGCTAGTCCCGTTGGTTGAGCTAGTCTCAAATCTAGACTATCTCGAGCAGGAGACCCAAGAAGCTAGTCTTTTAATAAAATCTTCTCGGGCAATCAGCCGCGTCAACTGGTGACAGTAGTAAACCGACGTTTCGGGAACCAACTGATGATGGGGACAAAGTTGGTTCCCGAAACGTCGGTTTACTACGGTAACCAGTTGACGCGGCTGATTGTCCGAGAAGATTTTATTGATTGTACTCGCCGCGAAAGTCTCAAATCCTAAGCTAGTCTTTTGTTCTCTTTTTACCTGAAGATTAAAGTTGAACCAAGTTCCGAAACGCTATGGTCTAAATAACACCTAGACGATTAATGAAAACACAAAATATCTGATTAATTTTCAGATAAACCAAGATTGTTGCTAAGACAAATGGTGCGTGTGAGTTATCGCAGCAATTTTTATTTGTGTGTTTGTTTACCTGCCCGCCGACCATTCCTCTTCTCAGCCTGAGAAGGTCTGTGTGTGACCAGGCGCTCTTCGACCAGGGGACCACAGATCGCAGATCTGCGTTGAAGTTAAATTCTCGAAGTTGATTGTGGACAAATTTTCGAATATTCCACGGAAGATCGTTGTGTCTGCAATGAGTCAGTGAAATGCAACTGTCCGTTACTTAAAATTATTTTAAGAACACACATATTATTGTAAGTTAATCTGATTAATTAATCAAATCACCGCAGCCATTTATTCAATTTTTATATCCCAGTGATTTATTTCAGTCAAATTAGGCACACATTCTTCAGTCGTACGCTTTAACCCATTCATTATATACGTCCGGATATTCATTCAAGCGTTAAAAACTCTAGTTCATCTTATTCATTCATTATCAATTCATTTCAGTTTTTCCAGTGCGCTAGTCACCTGTCAACGTGACTTTCAGAACATCGTGCATTATAACACATTTTCGTGTTTACATAACATGGCACCAGATGGCACGAAAGACGGCGTCTGTGCGTTCTTTTACAATGTTCCCCTCTGATTTGTGTGAAAGCAGGTGAAGTCAACAAGCTTCTGCTAACGTAAGCGTTGGAGTGGAAAAACGGCGAGCCATGTGACTGCGGTGTATATAAATCATGGCGGTGTCTGTAGGTGGCTTTCTCGTTCATCTGTTCGTATGCAGACGGCGGCGACCATAAAAAAGTGTTCCTTCTCTCTTCGCAGATATTGCCTCCAGCTAGAGGAGTCACAGCTGATATACACGTACTTACATCAATCACGGCCACACTGTTTCTTTGCATGTTGTTTTTACTTTCTTCCTTCCGATATTCGGTGTCTTTCCCCGATTCTATTGCTCGTCCTTTCTTTGGTTTTCCTCCCTTCATTTTACCAATAAACTCAGGATGGTGTCAGGACAAAGATTTGAACCACGAATCTCCCGAATGTTAGCCACCACAACGTGACGTTGGGTTCCAAGTTATTTGAGGTTATCGCGACGGTAAAGATGTCGATTTTGGTCTTCTGGTTTATAACGCCGTGTGGATATAACTTTTCGAAGAAGCAAGATTTTATTTTCGGCTCTGAAGATGGAGACAGTATGTTCCCCGAAACATTCGTATCTACCTACAAATCAACATGGCATTACAACGTCATGTTTTATCGGCATATTCCTGTTTTCTTTTATTCATCACATCAGTTTCATTTTTGAACTACACGAAATATTTGGATGAATTAAATTTCTACTATTTATGTAGTAATGTAGTAGTTAATCGGTGAGAGCGGATACCGAAACCACAAGCCGAATTGCAATGGACAGACGACACGCACACTCACTGAAACTGCGTCTATACACTACTTCTCTCTGGTTGAGTGACACAACCGAGTTAAACTGCTCAATATCTGCGTTAGTCTATTCTGCCCTGTTCACGTGCGTACCTATTCATTGAGAGACAATAGACTGTTTGACAGGCATGGGTCACAGTCATTGTGTTAAACTGGAAGCCGCGTGCATGTCACAACAGTCCAGTGACAGCGAAAATGTGTTCGTATTGCATTTCATTACGCCCGGGGGGGGGGGGGGGTTCGAATGTCTGAGTTCATGGGAAGATGTTTGGATTTAAGAGACGCTGCAGCACGTAACATTTGCAATTGTTACATGATAAAATTATTTGTAAAACCTACAGAGTCGCCTTCTGGTGTCGTCAGTTCCATAGGTGGTCAGGAATTTTCCTGCTGCAAGATAGCCGATTGCTTCTTTCACAATACCTCACCAGCTCAGTAAAGTCAAACAAAACCTTTACTATTTACCTGAAAAATCTAAAAACTTCTACCAGATTACAAAGTGCAATAACCAACCTTCATTCTCGCTGCCATGAGAACCTGAAATTTCAACAGCCATCTCGTAATTCGTATTCTTCTCTTGATATGACATGTTTCAGTTTTTATAAAACCATCATCAGGTGTAAAATATTTCTAAGAACTTAAAACTCAATTATGATTTCTGTAGTTTCTTGGTGATGTTTCATTACGTTTGTTTTTAACAACACCTTCGCCCAAATATGGAAAAACAAATTTAATGAAACATCACCAAAAAACTACAGAAATCATAATTGAGTTTTAAGTTCTTAGATATATTTTACACCTGATGATGGTTTTATAAAAACTGAAACATGTTGTGTAAATGTTCCGAAATGTAAATCGATCAATCGATAAGGAACATGAATGATATTTTATTATCTTAATTATAAGAAATTTTAAATATTGTGATCAGACGGATTAAAATAAATAATTGTTTAAATCTACAACATGTTCACATCGCTTTGTGTAGTCTATGGGAAGTCCACTCCAGTGGGGAGGCTAACAGGATGCAGTGGTAACGCTTCAAAACCAAATGTGTAAATAAATTAGTTTACGCGAGGCAGTCTAAATGACAGTGATTTTGAAGTGTATTTAGAGACCGCTGCAGTGATTCTGTGACGACTGCGATGCGTGGTTCAATGTGCTTCTGTGGCCTTTAATGCCTGTGTTTGCGGTGATTTTAAAGCCAGTTATAATGTTACTACACCATGATTTATAGCACGTGTTTACTGTTGGTTTAAACATCTCTGTACGCAGTATTAAAATATTAAATTGGCTACAGTTGTCAGTCTGCGCCAAGGCAACTGTGAATCAGATGGCGGCGTGTTAACACACTGGGCATAATAATATAACTGTCTCGGGCGATTTGCCGGAGAAGTCCGACGTTTCGGAGACCCGTCACTTTCTTCATCATCCTGAAATGCGCCGCTTCTGATCCGGACTGATGCGACTTACACAGCCAGAGGATTTTATCACATTTAGACTCCGTGAAAGCTTCAAGTCTTACAGGTATAAAATATGTCGTAATGTATGCATTTGTTGGTTTAACACGACATTCTATAAACACTATTATTGTTGTATTGTTTTCTTAAGAATAATGATCACAGATTATACCAACATTGGCAGTGATGGATGAGACGATGTCACGTAAACGATGTGAAGTCGATTCTCAGTTCTTACCGCAAAGAAAACAGACACGTCTAATTTACAACGGTTGGTTTGTTAATACTGTTTAGTTAAATAATCGATCTTTTACCTGAGAATCGTACGAAGTCTCTAAATATATTCTCTGTGGGCAAAATGAAAAGTTGTGAAATATTAAAGTATGTGGTGTACATAGTTACCACTGTGCTCTAAAAAGGTTAAGATGACTGCTTTATTGGTAGATTGCAGGGTAGAAGAAGGACGGTATCTGATCCGATTTTTGTAGTTACAGGGTATGGAAACTAAATAAGCTTGCGGAAAAGTGGCAGTTCGGAATCACGATACTCGGTCAGAGGAAACTCTACGAGTGAGTGGAAATATTCAAAGGATTACGGACTAATGTGCGTTTTGGGTGGCCACGGACTGAATACGTGTTGTTAAGTAGCAGTTTGATTAGTGTGTCCGGGACAAATAAAGTAGAGGTATTAATCAAATGTCATCTGAGATGATGCAGTTCAAGAATGTCGTAGAGCACAAACGAAAATTTTCGTGATGAAATCAAGAAAATTCTGGAATGTTGTGCCAGATGCATTCAAAAGCACAGCGACTAAATAGGAAAAAGGAAAATAAGATGTCGAAGTACTGTGTGACTTTGTCATCATTTTAAGTACATTTCCTTTTCATTTTTCTTTCGCAGTTTCAGATATGTATTGTATACGCACTGTTATTTCTTATAGTAATTCTGAATTCAAACAGATTACAAGGCCAATAATCCGTAATAGTTGATGATGATGTTACATCTTGTTGCCAACTTCTCAGATGTGATAACCTGTACTGATTAATTTAGTTCTTCTCAGAATGAAATTCACGTCTCTGGATGTATTGATTTAATTTAAAACAGGTTACTTCAATGTAATTTTGACGAAATTAATTTGCGGCGAGTGCTAATTTAGAGAATGTGCAAGCAAGCAGGGTCGATTAAGCTAACCGGCCTGTTATATGGATTAAAAGTGGTAGCCAGTATGAAATTATCGTATTATCACTGCTTGAAGTTACGTTACGATAGGCTATCCAAACGCTGATGTGGTTTTATTACCAAAACCAATAGTTTTGGCATAGAGGAGTCTAACGCATCATAAACATTCGATTCAGGTAAACGACATTATTTTAAATATTAGTGGTATATTTGTTTAAACCAATACGTGTTTATTTTAATGACAACTGAATGTGTTTAGTCCACTTATATCTTTTTCCCAGACTTGTATGGACATGAAACACGGATAACGAGAGATAATGATAAGAAAATTCAAGTGTTTTAAATAATGTTTCAGAGACATTATATCGGATGAATGTGGTTTTGGAAGAAACAGCAAAACAAATGCATGAGAGGAGGACGGAATTTTTAACCCAACGAGGTTACAAAAGATAAACGAGACAAATATATTGATCACGTTCGAAGAATTTAAGGAGAAGGACATGCAAAATAAATATTTATTGAAACCAAAGGAACGAGGAATTGAGGATTGCCTCTAAATTAATCGTAAGGACAGTAAAACGAATTTGGAACCGATACAGTTAAGAGATGATATCCGTGACAATGAAGAAGACGAATGTGTTTTCTGACTCTAATAAGATTTAATATGTATGGCATTTTTGTGAATATTAAGTGCTTTGTTGATAAAACATACAATCTTAAAAGATTAATGCAGTATTTCTTAGACGAACTTACATTAAAATTGTCTGCATATTAATTGAAAATTTTCAGTAAGCTTAGTGGTGGAGACTAAGGGAATTTCTCGCCCCTCTTGCTGTAGTAATATCCATACGGCTTCGCGTTCCATTATCCATTGTGAGGCAAATAGTCGTCTTCATATTAAACAGATGGCTATAATTCTGTGGCTTCCTATTCATTTTGGAATTTCTAGTCGCTCTTCTTGTAAGGTAAATGACGGGGTTTTAAGCAGTTCTGACACGCTGCATAAGAATTAAGGTTCTATCAGTCTTTCCAGGTGACATTTTTCATTTATCGATAGTTCTTTTAGTTCAAATGCTGTTACGCTTTGCCAGTAAATACGAAAATGAGCGTTAGGAGAAGTTTTTTCCTCTGTGTATCCGTCTGAATGTTTGACTGAAATTACTT